GAGGGGGGGGGGGGGGGGGGGAATGCCAGCGGGGAGTGGTGACTGATAGTCACCGCTCTCTGCAGGGAGACTAATCGGAAAGTGAGCAAGCGACGGTATGTGTTCGCTCACTTCCCGATCAATAAAGCCGACCTGTGACAGTCTCATTCTCACAGGTCGGCTCTAACTATGAGGATGAGTGGAAAGCACTGTATGCCTATACATAAAGGGCAAAACTGGGTTTATGAGCCGCAGCCATTTTCAAATGCCATGTTTCTGCTCAGTGCTTATTCTTAGTAGTGACACACATTTGACATACTGATCTTATTCTTGTGGTTGAAGTCTTTGTAATATCTTGTTGAGGTGAGACACCGACAGACATTCTCAACTCTGCAGGTACGTTGTTCAACTCTACCACATGGATCGGGACGCTTAGGGTAGGCTTAGTATCATATCCACTGGCAAACAGGCTGAAGATGGTGGTTTCATTGACACTGCAGCTTTCTCCACCCTAACAGGAATACAAATGTAAGTTTATTACTAGCAGATAAAAGAGCAGTAGAGGTCTGTTTTAGTTCTCTCTCCTTCTCTATATATGCTATTTTACGTCATTAACACTGCATTAAATGAAACATGCTAATATGATGTGGGCAAGTGGTTTATAAATTATACTTACCACTGTAACCCCATCATTTAAATACAGCACCTCAGGGTATTCTGTAATGCCCACTATACACATCCAGAAAACACAGATATATATTTTACTAATGAGGTCCCCTCTATAATAATAATAACTCTAAAAAACATTAAGAGGAATTTACTAAGACTTGAGCAGACAGAATCTGGAGCAGTTGTGCATGGCAACCAATTCGCTTCTAGCTTTTATTTTTAAGGTCTCATTCACACAGGGCATGTTGCCCCATACATCATTAAGTACAGACTTTTGATGTGCCCGGAGCTACGGGAAAAAGCATGCGGGAAACTCATGTAACTCTATGAAGATGCAGGAGCTGTGCGCCCCCACATTCTGCTTCACACAGCTCTGAGTTTTGACTGCCGCACACAGGAGGTGTACAGCCTTGGAAGCAGACATGATGTATCAAAATTTGGAGCTGTAGGAAACAGCATGTGAGAATACACAGCTCTCTCCATAGACTTACATGAGCTGTCTGCATGCTTCCTCCCACAGCTCTGCATTCATCAACTACCAGCCCTTCACGCTGTACGCAGCAACACGCCCTATGTGAATGAGGCCTAAAGCTTAACTGAACATGCTGAAAATAGTGGCTAATTGAGTGCTTCCGATGACTGCAATGCTGAACGGGCAGTGTGCGCGTGCGCACACCGGCTGTTCGGCAGTGATCTCTCGATCGTGTTAAAAACCAGCCGAAAATCATACGATTCTCGGCTGGTTTTCCAACATGCTCGATATAGAAAAGTTGTGCGACCGTACATTAGAAACGGTCGCACGCCTTCCATAAACTGCACAATTCTCGTACGATCGCGGGATTTCCTGCGATTCTCGTATGAGAATCGTGCAGTGTATGGGCACCTTTAGAGAGCAGGCATCATCTGCCTTTCTTCTATGCAAAAAAGGAAAGGATCAAACACCATGCATGGGATACTGGCATTGCCAGCCAAGTATTACAGCAAGTCTGGTATTTAAGCAATCTGTTTGAGGAGGACAGTGATTCTCAGCTATATAATGTAACAGATACAGTAGATAGTAGGCATGATATCAAACAGTCTGGTCTTAGATACTCTTTTTTTAGGTTTCCAACCCAGAGCTGTGCTACACTGCTTAAAAATCTAAAAATAATTTATAACACCCGACGCGTGTTTATAGAGCTGCATACTGGCTTATACCAAACAGCTGATTGGCAGGGGTATAAGCAGAGCAGAGCCCAAAATCAGGACTGGATCAGCCACACCGAAACGTTTTCCATAAGCTGGCTGAAAGCGGAAATTTTCCTTAAGCATTGTCTATTATACTGAAAGCAAAACTACTTAATAATCCTAAAACGTTTATAGAACCCAGCTAAATATGCCACGAGCCGCTTGAATATTTGATATTTCTTGGCAGCAGACTGGAATAAAATAAAAAAAAAGCATCTTATCTCGGCCTGGTTTTGAGAACTCTCATCTCTTAGTACAAGTGCATATAAGTTATAGAGGTCCTGAACTGCGTCACCTAGCAAATATTATATTGGGATCTGGGCCTCTGGCCATAATACAGTGTTACTAGAGTTAAAGCAAAGGGCCCTCAGTAAAACTAATTAACATGTGAGAGATGCTCTCAAGCACAAGTTTCAAGTACTGCAGACTTGCCAAAGATGTCACCCAGTCACAGAAGTCCTTAGTCACATGCTTGACACTCTCATCCGGTACTGGTGTCAATGGCCTTGGAATCTTAGATCTTTTCTCCTCCTTTACAGTCTCCTCTTGCTTGACTATCCAAGTATATGGATTTTTGAGCCTGGACTGGTCACTCCTGGAACAATGAGATTCAGACAACAATAATTCCCAGCACGTTGGAACAAAAATAGATTGAGTAACAGATATTTAGCTTGATGTACTGGTGGCATACGGGTTTTTTAAAAATATAAATCTGAAACTGTTGCCTGGTACTGTTGAACCATTCACCTCTCGATCTGCTGTGAGAACTTTGCTCAGACTGCTCTGCTTTTATGTTCACAAAGCTACCTTGCTTCAATGGAAAAACCCTTGGCCTCCCACTGTTAGGATGTTTTTGGCATTGGTGACTGGGGTGTAACCTAAGTATAAGGTAATCTACAAGGACAGGGCTTGCTCGACTAAATTCAGTAAGATTTGGGTACCCTGGCTAGGTGTTGGAGTGGCCCTGCTGTTTAAAGCTGGTCATACACCTATAGATTTCCTGCAGATTTTCTATGGTCAGATGGAAAAAGTGCAACAGATTCCTCCATCTACGCTAAACTGTGTGGATGGAGGAATCTCCACCTGGACTAAGCCTTAGTAACTTGCTAGTCGGCCCGCCGGTTTTCAAAATACCTGAACAATGCCTGACTTCAATCAGATTGTTTAGGTATTTTGACAGTGAGTGGGGCCAACTAGCAAGATACTGAAGCTTGGCCCAGTAGAGTAGATGGAGGAATCTGTTGCACGTTTTCCATCTGACCATAGAAAATCTGCAGGTGTATGGCCAGCTTTATTGTGTCTATCATGCCTACAGGATATAATTATGTATACTCTTTAGTCATGTTCTAACACAGGGGTAACCAACCTTGGCACTCCAGGTGTTGTGAAACTACATGTCCCATTCTGCCTCTGGGAATCATGCAGAGTTTTGCAATGTCTCAAGGGGAGAAGGGTTGGATGCAGGTATGTGGTGTGTATAAGTGTTTGTCCATTTCATTGTTCGCAACCTGCGCGTTGCAGTTGTTGGTTTTATGTTTCTTTGCAATATAAAACTGCAAAAAAAGAAATAAATGATAAACTAATAACATGGCTAGACAATGCTTACATAGTTGACAGCCTTGTGCTGGTTTCACGTGATTTTACATTGTGTGTTTCCTGCTCTTCTCTTGCTGGAATGATGATGTCTTCCTCCTGATCCTCAGGGATAACTTCATAAGAACCTGCAGAACTCTTTAATCTCATATCAGGGTCAAGAATCTCCACAACGTCTTCAAACAGCTTCACAAAACGAAATACAGAATTTGTAACCAAACTTCGCTAGACTTTTCATAAGCATAGAAAAAAAAATGTTTTCCCTCTTTTTTAAATTCATGTATAATATGTTATGATATATTTATTAAGGTTTATATTTAATGCTGCAGGCAAGCAGCTCAATGCAGAGTTACATTTTTATTTTGTAAAGCGCTGCTCAAACTGTTGGCTCTATCTAAATGTTGTATAATAATAATATCAATAAATGACATCAATAGAAAATGATTTAACTGCCAAGGGATTGTATTTCTGTGCAGCCAGTTTGGAGATTTTGGCAACATACACATATCCCTGACCTCCACTACAGCAACTACACAGCTTGTTCAAGAACACGGGTAAAATACCCCGGTAGCCTACAATGAAGGATCAGCACATCACTCATGTTCTCCCTATACTCATCTGCTCTTTTGGTCAGCATATTTCCTGACCAGGGACATGCCGTCAGGGGAGGCAGAGCCTGACCTGCCATTGTGGAAGAAAACGCAATTACAGTTAATTACAGGCGGCGCTTCATCCGGCTTTTGACAATACAGTGAGGTCAGAGCTACAGCAGCCTCTGACATGGAGTCAGAGGCTTGAGCTCTGTGTATGGTTTGGACCAATGGCAAAGCACCATTGGTCCAAGTCGTCCAATCAAAAAAAAGAAAGAAAAAACACTGACAGCATCCATCTAGATGCTTGATCAGTGATGAGCAAATGAATAAAAGGAAGGCTCCTCCCTGTCTTCTCACTCCCTCCACACATAGCTCGGTGACCAGGCCACTGACCTCACTGCACGTCCCTGATGCATGCAACAGAGCATGGCTGACTCTTGGTGCTGCCCATTGTACAATAGTTGACAGAAAGCAGATATCAAGGCAATTTCAGGTCCTTGCACTAGTTGTAATTTAAAGTTTAGAATTATTTGTTAAAACTGCTTTTAAGTTACACGTGGCTCTTACGTCAGGTGATATGCTTTCTTCTAAGTGAGGGTAAAGTGCCAGTGGATGTTGTGTAAGGCCATATTCTATCTCAGCAATGTATTCTCGGCGTGTCTGCTGCAGTGGGAGGAGTTTCGAGTAACACGACTGCTCTATGGTGAACTTTTGTGGCTTCTTAAAAGGCTTTGAGTCGTGTACTGCATTCCGCAGGATGGGATGATGTGCACCAGAGGATAGAACATTTGAAGTGTCAGAGGAAGCAGGAAAGCCATCTCGAAAATCATCAACTCCTTTTGGCAAGAATTTCCATTGGTGGCAGTTGAGGGCACCAGATAAGTTCAGTTTATGGTTGGTTTCTTTTGAAACACGCTACAAAACGGCTCACGCCTGAAAAGGTACAGGTACTACTTTGGGCCGTTTTGTTGTGCGTTTCCATTGGGCTACAGCCAAGTAGCCTTCGGAAACGCGCGCCGGTCGCGCGACTTTTTTACCACGATTCGCGGAAAAAAAAACGCGCGACAGACGCGCATATGCAATACGCCTAGGTGTGAACGAGACCTTAGGTCTTGTTCACACCAGCAGCTGCGCTCAACCACACGGGGTGTGTGCCTGGACAGTGGAAATGCATTTGATCGCATGGTTTCTTTTTCTTTTAAGAACTTTAATGAAAGTCACAAGCGACATTTCAATAAGTTCTAGGTACTCACCACAGCGCGATGTAGGTTTACCGCTTCTCACTGCAATGTGCTTTAAAACAAGGTACAGCATGCCATACACCGGAACACAGTGTTGTGAACTGTCACCATCCGTGAGAAGACAAATTGCGTGGTCTTCAATTTGGGCTGCACTGGAACAAATGGCCAGCAAAGCCCGAAAGCAGATGGTGTGAGCGAGCCCTAAATCACATAATCTCTCATTTTTACATTACATATAAAAGATGAGACTGCCTCAAGATAATAAGTACCACATATATATACCATTAAAACCAAATGTCCTTGTGAAACAGGAGAATAACTACAATATTCAAGTGCATTACAAAATCACGTTCGAGTTAAAGGAGAACTATGAGGTGAGTGCTTTTCACTCACCTCATAGTTCTAGCCGACCTGTGACAATGAGACTGTCACAGGTCGGCTTAGTAGATCGAGAAGTGAGCGAACACATACCGGGGTTTGCTCACCTCTCGATCCTGTCACAGCTCTCTGCCGTGACAGGGGAGGGGCTGGATTCCCCCCTCCCCGCTCCGATCCGCCAGCGCTGACTGGCGGATCGGACAGCTGTCACTCACGCAGCGGATCCAGACATAATTGTCGGGATCATCTCCAGCAGCGGCATCTCAGTATACCGCGAGCAGTAGCTCGCTGTATACTGCGGCGTTTCAGTATACTGCAAGCTGTAGCTCGCGGTATACTGAGCTTAGGGTGACGGGAGGACGCCTGTTTGTGTCCTCCCGCTACCCTGAGGAGAACTATGGGGAAAAGCCTCAACCCCATAGTTCTCCTTTAAAGTCCTGATGCCTAAGACCATTCTTCTACCTCTACTGTGTGTGGGGGTGTTGTAGACAGAATTAAATTTGATACCACACTTATCCTAGAAGAAAAAGGTTAAGGTGCACCCATATAGCATAATGCTAGAGAAACTGAAGTAGACACAAGAGCGTCTGTATAGCAGTTTTTACTTTATTAGGATAAACAACCAATATTTATTTCCATAGTCATTAATAATGTATTTTGGGCGTTTCTAGGTGTTAACTACTCATTAAATACGTATATTAGATATACTCTGAAATAACATCATGTGAAAAAAAATTTACATTTAAGTTATGTGTCCTTAGCACAAAATAATTATCGGCAGGATGTAGACAAAACAAAACCACAAGTTTCCAAACCAAGGATACGAAAGGAGAAAATACACAAGTTAAACTGAAGTGTGCTAAAGGTTGATATAAATTAAAGTGGTGCTCTGAGTGCTCCGAGTGTCCATAATATCTTTGTCAGGGGATACCGAGTATGTGTTAACTGAGAAGCATTTAAAGTGACACTAAACTCAGGAGTTAAACCTTAAAAATACATTCAAGTACCCTAACTGTTAACAAAATGTGTCTTATTTGAGTAGCACTCGGCTGTAGTTCTTCAAATCATCTCTGAATTCATGCTGACACTGTCCTTCCTTCTGGAGGGTGGCTACTTTTGTTCCCCATGGTCCTGCGTATGTTGTAAAGTAGCCACCGCTCCAAGCTCATCCTTTGATAGACTATAACTTCAATACACAATAGTACATTAAACGCGAGACTGTGGTGCATCACGGGAGCAAGCTAGGTGCGGAGGTTACTTTACAACACACACAGGGACCATGGGGAACAAAAGTAGCCCCCCTCCAGAAGGAAATGCAGAAATATTTGAGGATCAAAGGCTGAGTGATAGTGCAGAGACAGTGACAGGTACTCCTTATGGATACTTTTTTTTTATGGAGGCCTCACCTGTCCCCTAGCCATTGCAGATTGGGGACCTAGGGTCCTTGGACTCATAAGTGATCCTTATTTTATAACACTAAAACTGGCCTATTTATTACAGTGAAGTGAAATACGAAAATAAGAATTGTGCAATGAAGAGTTAGATTTTATTGTTAACTAATTATTTGACTACACTCAATGAATCCTAAAGAGACGCTGTATCCCTGTCCCTGTCCATGCAGGGCAACATGACAAACCCAGTGCAGGGTATCTGGGTAAAAGAATTTCACTTAAAGTGGTTCTAAACCCTCCATTTTTTTTGCCTATATCTACTGCTCAGTAGATATAGGCAAGAAGTTTTTTTTAAAAACCCCGCTTTAACTAGTTTTAAACTTACCTCGTTATCGCTGCTCGCTCCCCTGCCGAGAATTAGGAAGTGATCGTACGGCCGCAAATGATCTTGGGGCGGGCGCATGCGCAGTTCCGATTCTTGGCCGGGAGACGAGCAGAGACGCAAGGTAAGTCTACCCGCATGCAGACACCGCTGGATCGGAGGGACAGAGCAGTCAGCGCTGGATCGGAGAGCCGCCTCACTGCTGGAGGGACACATGAAAACATGGGGAAAGAAGAGGAAGATCAGAATAAGAGACATCATTTAAGGTAAGTGCTAACATTAACATGGGGGGGAGGAGAAAAAGAATTTGACTTTAATGTCACTTTAACTCCTCCCAGCACCTGCAGCCTTTTCCAACCCTCTGCTCAGAGTCCCGCTGGTGTCATCAAGAACAATGTAGGGCCCATAGCATTATACGTGAGGATGCCGAGGGACAGGGCCCTGCCGGAGCGTACAGGAGGGAGGTGAGAGCCGACTGTCAGGGGAGTGGGGATCAGGAAAGTAAAACGCAGGTACTGTAGACAAAAATGAACAGTTAACCCTTGCAGTGTGTGGCTGCGCCACTGCAATGGGAGTTTTTTTCCCCCCTGGGGATGCGCTTTAACAAAAAAGGAAATTGTTTATCCTACATGGGGCACAAATCAAATTAAATATCATCCAATTAGGCTTTATATCTACTTTGACCTTATTAGTAAAGCCAGTTTATATAACCAATGTTATGCATCATCCATTTTTATGGAGTATATACGAAATGGTAGGTGTACTTACCAAGGGTGGCGAGGCTGCAAATTATATTTCCCTTCAGCCAAGGTGGACATCGCTCATCAGAACTAAATTCAAAGCAGAATTCTTACTTGGATGTAATTATGTATTCCAGCCTAAAAAGTCACAGGTTAACAAATCTAGCCTTGACTGAAAATACACTGCACTGTTACATGATTCCTATAAAAACACTTCAATACATAAGTTGTAGTAGGGAGTGTTTAAAGTGTACCTAGTGCTTCCACACACGGCAGCAGCCAGCTCTTGTATTGCCTTCCATGATGGTTCCCATAGCGACCATATCATCCTTAGGAACTGTAAACAGTGGCACGTTTTGATGATGTCACTAAAGCTGGCCGCCTTTCGTGTGAATTGCCTGGCTTCTGATTTTCAGAGGTAGTGAGTTTAGCTGCTGTTCGGGGCATTCTAGTGGGCCAGATGTATATTGTATTATGATCATATCAGACTTTTGTCTGGGTAAAGTAAGAAGACGGCTTATTTCTGTAGTGTAAATGAAATGACATAGCGGCGCGCCATGGGCTTCATCTAGTGGTCGATAGTGAGAACAGCAGGAAAGATCCAAGAGAGAACCAGTGCTGAGAAATGCAATATAAACTCTCATTTCTATCCGGCTTGTGAACCCGCGTCTTCTTACATGGGATCCAATTGCTTCAATCGTTTCTGGGGCAATGATCTGGAACAAACATACTGAAGTGAAAGCATCTAATCTGTAGCCATGAAAGCAGAATAACAACCAGGCAAAAAATATATTTCAAAGTAGCTCTATATGTACACTGGGATATCCATATTGGATATGCAGCTCCTACTACGGTGCGTTTATTAAGGCACGATCTGCCTGATCTTAAATAAGAACTCCGGGGGAACATGATCTTAACCCCTGCAGTGAGGCTACCCCCGCATTGCAAGGGTTACGTGCTCATTTTTAACAAAGTTACTCACCTGAGCTTTGCAGCCAGCTGAATTCTAGACCGGTCCCTACAGCCTGTCTCCTCCGCTGCAGCAATGGACTGTCCCTCAGCATCCTCACATCCTATACACTGCAGACTAGGGTTGCCACCTGTCCAGGATTGACCCGGACAGTTCGGGTTTTGAATGCAGTGTCCGGGTTTCATGGCAGCAGAAACCCGAAGTCAAGATGTCAGGCAGACAGGGGCAACCAAAATTAAGATAAGGGCTACTGGCCCCCCCAGTGAAAATAGTCTCAATTGCGGTATTTACATATGAATGGATGGCACTATTTACATATGAATAAGCTGCGACTCATTCTCCCCAAAAAATGTCCACGTGTCGCTAGAGTGTTTGGGTTTCGCTTGAAGAAAAGGTGGCAACCCTACTGCAGACTGCTGCAGCAGAGGGGGAGAATAGCTTCAAAGTTCAGGTGATTATACCTGTTATTTTAGCTCTTAAACAAAAACCAGCATTTAAACCTATGCAATGCAGGGTAGCCCCACTGCAGGGGTTAAGATCATTTCTCCCAGAGTTCTTCTTTAACGCATCATGGCTGCTATTCACTGCTTATAAACATCTCTAAGGAGGTCATGTTTATGAAGGAATGTCACTTCTCTTCGAATATTTCTTAATGTCCACATAACTGGGGGGGGGGTGTCCATTACCTAAACACATTGAGGGAAATTTATGAAAAGTGGAGCAGACAGAATCCCGGAGCAGTTCACCATGGTGACCAAATTAGCTTCTCTCTTTCATTTTCAAAGCTTAAAGGAGAACTATGGGGTCAGGGCTCCCCAGGGTCACAGGAGGACACAAACTAGCTTCCAAAGCTCAGCATACCGCGAGCTGTAGCTCGCGGTATACTGAGATCGCCGCAGCCGGGACGGATCCCAAAAATTACTGTCAAAATCCACCCAGCTGCGTGACAGACAGCTGGCTCTGCCTATCTAGAGGCAGATCCAGCTGTACCCACCCCCTCCCCCGTCCGTTCCGCCAGTCAGCGCTGGTGGAGGGGGGAATCCAGCCCCTCCCCTGTTACGGCAGAAAGCTGTGACAGGATCGAGAGGTGAGCGAACGACGGTATGTGATCTCAGTATACAGCTCGCGGTATACTGAGATCGCCGCAGCCGGGACGGATCCCAAAAATTACTGTCAAAATCCACCCAGCTGCGTGACAGACAGCTGGCTCTGCCTATCTAGAGGCAGAGCCAGCTGTACCCGCCCCCTCCCCCATCCGTTCCACCAGTCAGCGCTGGAGGATCGGACAGGGGAGAGCGGAATCCCTGCAGGGAGCCATGAGTGACAGTCACCACTCTCTGCAGGGAGATGATTGAGAAGTAAGCGAGCGACAGTATGTGTTCAATCACTTCCCAATCTATTGAGCCGACCTGTGACAGTTTCATTGTCACACGTCGGCTCGAACTATGAGGCTGAGTGATTTTCACTTACTTCATAGTTCTCCTTTTAAAAGGAGAACTATGAGGTGAGTGCTTTTCACTCACCTCATAGTTCTAGCCGACCTGTGACAATGAGACTGTCACAGGTCGGCTCAGGAGATCGGGAGGTGAGCGAACACATACCGGCGTTCGCTCGCCTCTCGATCCTGTCACGGCTCTCTAGATAGGCAGAGCCAGCTGTCAGTCAGGCAGCTGGGCGGATCCAGACATAATTGTCGGGATCCGCTTCAACTGCGGCGTCTCAGTATACCGCGAGCAGCAGCTCGCGGTAGACTGCGGTGTCTCAGTATACCGCGAGCTACTGCTCGCGGTATACTGAGCCCGAGGTGACGGGAGGACGCTAGTTTATGTCCTCCCGTTACCCTATGGAGACCTATGGGGAAAAGCCTTAACCCCATAGTTCTCCTTTAACTGAACACATTAAAGAGAGAAGCTGATTGGCTGCCACTTTTGATACATTCCCCTCAATGTATTTAGGCAATGGACACACCCCCAGTTATGTGGACCATTTAGAATTCATATGCCAAAAAACGATTGGTTAAACCCAACATCACTTTTGTTTTATCCTGACTTTTCAAAATAGCAAACAAGACGATTAAGAGCCAAGATGAAGGGTTTAATGCAAAATAACTTTTTTAGTAGTTAAATAGAACATTTTTCATAGATATCTGTACATCAGACCTAAAAGAGGGACAACTGAGGAGGAAAGAGGGACAGGAGGGATTTGGTTCCAAATGAGGGACAGTTGGGAGGTAGGATGTTATCTATCAGGGAAAGACAATCTCTGAAAACTCCAGCTGAGGTAAAACTACAAGTCTAATGAGGCATTACAAGACAGTTTACCTTAACCAGGAGGTCGGCAACCTCTGCACACCTGCTGTTGTGGAACTACAAGTGCCATAAGGTATTGCAAGACTGTGACAGCCACAGGCATGATTCCCAGAGTGATGGCAGTTGTAGTTTCACCACAGCTAGAAGGCCCAGAGTTTGCCTAACCCTATTATGCACGGTAAACAGCCGCTATGTGCAGAGAAGTGAGGAGACGGAAGGCAAGGGCCCCTTACTGTTTAGTAATAAAAGGCAGCAGGAAAAATCAAAACATGTAATAAACATGGTCTTTGAGTGCCTTGTAACATGTATACAGTATATGAGCGTGTGTATATATACATATATTTATAAATATACAGTATGCAATTGATGTATTTTACTGGGTCTGGCACGCAGTAACAAAGGAAGTAGAGAGTAATTCTTCTACTTCCCCTTAACACCGCACCTGTTTTTGTCCTCCATCCCCGTCACCTCTGGGCTAATGAAGCAGGAGAGGAGATCATTTACACCAGGGGTTGGCAACTCCAGCCATCCAGCTGTGCTTGAACTACAAATCCCAACATGACTCTGGGAGTCATTCCTTTAACGGTCAGTCTTGCAATGCCTCATGGGACTTGTAGTTCCACAACAGC